ATGCCTTGAGGTTACGGTAAGGCGGGTTTGAGGGAGCGAGGCTTTGGGTTCGAGATGGATCACCTCGCTGGGTGCCCACCTGGCACCCTGCTGCATGGAACCGTCATTGGGTGAGCGGCGGTGGGATGGGGCACTCTACACCACACCAGGCGGGGTACTGGCGGCCCTTGCTTCCTCTGGCCCTGTGGGTGGAGAGGGCGGCGAGGGTGCATGCAGCGCAGGGGGCAGCGGTGCCGGCAATCACACCAGAGGAGGTGGCGGTGGCAGCGGCGGCGGAGGCGTAGGCGGCGCCGAGGGGGGCAGCGATGGGGGAGGTCGGGCCAGCGGCGGCTGAGGCCTCCTAGCCTGTTTGACACAGTTTGCTGCCACAGACGCGGCGTGGACGAGCCACGCTATGTCCTCCGCTCGCGCCACGCCGCCATTCCTAGCGGGACTCACCCCAGTTGCCCCTACTGATTTTGATGGTTCTCCCGCTTCGCCGTGGCATGCTGTTTCCATGTGTCGCATGCATTGGTTGAAGAGTTGACGAATTCCACAACATGGCTGGTGCAAGAAAAGCTCAGGGCTCGGTGCAGGCATGGCATACACGCAACGGGAGTGCCGTCTCGCTGCCAACACATCCACCGTGTCGCCCACGAGTGCTGCCGCCCATACGAGTGTGGCATCTACCAGTTCCGGACTGTTCACCACGAACCGGCAGCGTGCAAGTGGCCGGGGTGCCCCCTTGGGCGCCAGGGCCGGCATGCCCACGTGCCGTCAACGCCGGCCCGTCAACCGCCCCGCTCGGCATTGCACTTGCACCAAAACCTCCCTCAAACCCGATGTTTGATCAGTCACAGGAAGAATGCCTGCACTGGGCGGCGGTGGGGTCATCTGTTGTGTGCGGCTGTTAACCAGCAGCAAGCACCGAGAGCCACGAGGCGGGTGGCCAGGAGTAAAGGGTGGTCTGGAGGAAGGGTGAATGAAATGCAACGTGAAGGCAGGGGCAGGGCTCTCAGCTCATGGCGAGCGGCGGCACAGGGCTGGTGGGGGCTGTACCAGCAAAGCGCGCATGGCTCACACAAAGCAAGCTTAGGGGGCGGAACGGAAGCAGGGGAAGAGAGAGTGGGGTAAGGCGGCAGAGGCGGACCCAGCAATCGGGAGGTGCCGCTCGGCATCATTGACGGTGGCCACCGAGAGGTGCTGGCATGAGAGTGCGTAGAACTGGGACAGTACTGCTTCAGTAACGAGTGTGGGGAAAATCGTCGGGCACAAAGGCACGGCAAGTGCAGGACGGGTGATGGACTGTGGCTGGCAGGAACGCCAGCGGTTGGCGCTGCGCCCAGGCAGCCCCGCCCGAGGAGCGGCGCTGCCTGCTCACCACAGGGAGCGGAAGGCGCTGAAGCTGGTGCTTGCGGGGGTGGGGGCGGGGCCACCTGCGGCGGGGCCCTGCGCAGAGGGCCCAAACAGCGAGTCTGCGCTGTCGGGCAGGCGCAGCATCGACGGCGGCGGCTGCTGCTGCTGCTGCTGCTGCTGCTGGTGGTGGGGCTGGTGCGTCAGCGGCGCCAGGCCATCAATCTCGCCTAGCAGGTCTCGTGACAGCAGCTCGGCCCCTGCCGCATCCAGAGGATCGTGCAGAAGCCCTCCCAGGCCGCCCGCGCCCGCGGACCCGGCGGGGAAGAGCAGGGAGTGAGGGGGCGGGGCCGCGCCGCCGCCCGGCACCTCGCCGCCCGCGGCAAAGCTCTCGTAGCCGGCCTGCTGCAGCTCGCCAATGTCCAGGTCAGCAAACTGAGAGGTGAGGCTGGCGGGGCCGCCGCCGCCCGCGGCAGGGCCCACGCCGCCGCCACTGAACGCCGCCAGCGAGGCAAACGCGGGCTGCTGCGCCACCACCGCCCGCTCGGGCGCGGCGGCAAACAGGCTGCCGCCGCCGGCCGCGCCGCCGGCCGCGTGGGGCGCCGCAAACAGGCTGCCGCCGGCTGGCGCTGACGGCGGCATCAGCGGCGGCTGCTGCCGGGCCGCGGCTGGCGCTGGCGCAGGGTGCGAGCTGAAGAGGGAGGTGGAGGCGGGGGCTGCTGACACGGGAGGCGCACTGAACAGGGAGCCTCCTCTGGCGGCGGCGGCGGCGGCGGCGGCATACTGCGCCTGCTGGTGGGCTGGCAGCCCAGCCGACAGCGGCGGCGCCTGCACGCCTGCCGAAGGCATGGCTGCCATGCGCGGCGCCCCCGCAGGCGCCGCAGCGGCGGCCTGGCCCCAGGCCGGCCGTGACAGCGCCTGCTGCTGCTGCTGCTGCGCCTGCTGCTGCTGCTGCTGCTGCTGCTGCTGCTGCTGCTGCTGCGGTGGCGGCGGCACGGGCTGCTGGCGCTGCGGGGCTGCCAGGGGGGGCTTGTAGGGCGCCTTGGCGGGCGACGGCTGCGCCCGCGCGCCCTGCGGCTGCTGCTGCTGCGGCCCCGCAAAGCCAGGCGGCGCAGGCTTGGCCTGCGCCGGGATGGCGGGCGGCGCATACTTGGTGCGCTGCACGGGCGGGGCCGCGGGCTGCGCCGCCGCCGCACGCGGCCGCGGCTCGGCATGCCCGTTGGCCCCCTGCATCTGCTGCTGCTGCTGCTGCTGCTGCCTGGCGGCCTGCGCGGCTGCCTTGGCGGCCGCGGCCGCCGCCGCCGCCGCCGCCTGCTCCTCCAGCTGCGCCGCAGCAGCCGCTGCCGCCTCCGCCTCGGCGGCCGCCGCAGAGGGCTCGGGCGGGATGCCTCGCAGCTCGTTGAGGTGGAGGTGCAGCTTGCGCCGCACTTTCTTCCCATACTTGGCCGACACGCCGCCGCCAGCCGCGCGCTCAATCGCCTCATCCAGCGCCTGCAGCGGGGCAGCCCAGCAGGAGCGGCGGCGCTAGCAGGGTGTGTGCACGGGCGCTGCGCACAAGCATAACTGCGAGCCCATGGGTGGGACCCTGCTCCTGCTGCTGAAGCAAGCATGCTGCAGCAGCAGCAGACACTGCCCCACCACAGCCGCCGCCAGCCCGTACACAGATGCGCCGCCGCCACCACAAGCACCACCACCACAACAGCAAGGGCCCGCTCCCACCTGCATGGCCACCTCCACCGCCGCCTCGCCCTCCTCCCCTTCCGGCTCGGTGGCCAGCAGCTTGGCTGCCGCCTCTGCAGCATCCTCCAGCTGCTGGCGCAGCACCTCGTGCTCTGCAGGCGGCGGCGCAGGCGGCAGCAGGCCGGGCAGCGTGGGGGTACGCAGACCGCGAAGCAGGCCAGCCCTGGCGAGTGCACGCAGGCGGCAGGCAGCACGGGGGGAAAGGCGGAGGCGGCCGTCGCGAGAGGCGCAGGGCGCAGGAAGTGAAGGGGAGCTCGGCGCGGCGCGGCGCGGCAGAGGTGCTTGCCTGATGCCACGCTGAGGGTCTCAGACATGCTATCCACCCTGCTGTGGCTGCTGAGCGCGGACAGCTCAGCGGCGGGCGCCGGAGGCGGCGCCGCCGCCTCCGGAGCCTTGGCGGCGGGCTTGGCCCTGCGCGCCGCCTGCTGCCGGCTGCCCTCTGCAGCGGCCGCCGCCGCGGGGCGGTCGCCGCCCCTCATCGCAGAGTCCTCTGCCGCGGCAGCCAGAGAGCCGCTGGCCGCCTTGGAGAGCACAGCCGATGCCGCGGCCTCCTCCTCCGCCTCATCCTCATCATCCTCATCATCCTCGCCATCCGCCTCCTCCGCCGCCGCGGCAGGGTTGGTGGCGGCGGCAGCGGCGGCTGCGTCCGCCTTGCCCTTGGCTTTCGCCCTCGCCTTCTGCTTCTTCTTCTTGCTTGCAGCGCTGCTGGCCGACCGCTGCCGCTGCAGGCTCTCCTGCTCGCTGCAGGCGGGCACGGCGCGGCAGGCAGGGAGGGGCGCGGCCAGGGCTGGGGTTGAGGGCAGGCGCACGTCACTGCGCGGACCGCAGGGGCTGCGAGCACCCGTGGTGCAGCAGGCAGGCAGGGCGGAGGCTGAGGCTGAGGCAGAGGCAGGCCGAGGGGCAGCAGCAGCGGCAGCTCGCCACTCACGTCTCCTCCTCCTCCAGCAGCGCCGCCATGGCGGCGTCGGCCAGCGCCTGCTCGGCTTCCAGGTCGGCTGCAGCAGCGGGGGGCAGGTGCGGGAGGGGCGCTGGGCTGGCCGTGCGAACCGCGCCGTGCAGGCACACCCTCCTCGTTGCCCAAGCGCTGGCCCACGCAACAAGAGCGGTCCTGCCACCAGGCACACCCTCCACGCAAGCCACATCCCCAGCCCACTAGTCCGCTAGTGTGCCCTCTCACCCGTGCCGTCGTCTCGCTCGTCGTCCTTGGCGCCAGCCAGCGGGTTGCGGCCCGCGGCCCGCGCCGCTGCCCCCTCCTGCGCCACCCGCCGCAGCTTGGCGTCCAGCAGGCGCTGCTGCCGCGTCGTCTTGCCGTGCTGCCCGCACAGCACAAAGGAGGCGGTGGCGCCGTCGATGCCGTCGGCGCGCGCCCGCCAGTCGCAGCCCAGGCGCGCCAGAGAAAACATCATGTCTTTTTTGTTGGCCATGGCGGCGTGGTGCATGGCGGTGCCTGCGCGTGGCGGGGGGCGGCTCCTCGGATGGGCGTGAGCGGCTGGGAGTGTGTCGGCTAGGGTGTCCTTACGCAAGGAAGGGGTGTGCGTGTGTGCATCGCTGTGTGTGCGGTGGCGGCGCGGGTACAGGCACTGAGGGCATGCAGGCATGCAGGTCGGCTCGAGGAACCAGCATGGCTGTCGCTGTCACGGCCGGCCCTGCCCACAGCCCCGCCCCAGGCCCAGCCCAGCCCAGCCCACCTCCCACAGAGTCCTTGCAGTTCACGTCTGTGCCCAGGTCCACCAGTCGCAGAGCCATGGCCTTGTCGCCGCACCCGGCGGCTGCGGCAGCAGGAGCAGGAGCATAAGCAGGCGCGGGGAGCGGCTGGGCGGGGCAGGGTGGTGGTTGGGGTGAGGCAGTGATGTGCTTGAGTGGGCGGGGAGTGTCGAAGGGTGGCGGGAGGGCCCTCAGCCGTATGTATAAGATTACTGGGGCGCTGTGCGGCAAGAGACAGCTGGAGGCTCACCCAGGTGCAGCGCGGTGCGCCCCTCGTTGTCTGTCAGGTGCAGGTCTGCCCCCAGCTCCACCAGCCGCTCCACAACCTGCAGGTGGGGCAGGCAGGCAGGCAGGCGGGCAGAGAAACGCGTCAGGCGGCGCGTCAGGCAGGGCAAGGAGCAGAGCGCCGGGCAGGAGCGAGGCAGCGAGGCAGCGAGCCGGGCATCGCGGGCGAAACGGCGACGGGCCGGCACCCTGCAAGCATGCTCCGCCTGCGCTGCGCTGCACTGCTTCCCCCTACCTTGATGAGCCGCCCGCGGTCCTGCTCCCCCGCCGCGAATGAAAGCTGGTCTGTGCGGCGCGCCAGGCAGTCCATGTTGGAAGAGTCGACCACAGGCTTGGTGATGGCGGCGGCCGCCGCCGCCAGCACCAGCCCGCTGCTGTCCACGCCGCCCAGCAGCTGCGCGGCGGCCGCGGCGCTGCCGCCGCCCGCGGCCGCCGCGGCGCTGGTGGAGGGGGCGTCGAGCGGCGGCACGGCGGCGGCTGCGGCTGCGGCGGCGTTGCTGCTGCCGCTGGGTCCCGCCTCCAGTAGCAGCTGGCCGTCTGCCGGGGTGCCCAGCGCCACGTCAGCGGTGCCACCCGCCGGCGCCTGCAGCTGCAGCATCAGCTGCTGCTGCAGCACCTCCTGGCTGCGCGCCAGTGCCGCCTGCATCTGCTGGAGCGCCGCCTGCACCGTCTGCTGCGTCTGCTGCAGCTGGGCCTGCGCGGCGGGGCCGTTGGAGGAGGTGCCGGCGCCGCCCGCAGCCTGCCGCCACTGCTGCTGGCTGTACGCCTTCTTGAGCAGCTTGGTGAGGCCCAGCGAGCGCCAGGTGGACCAAAGGTCGGGGCTGCCGCTGCCGCCGCCGCCGCTGCCAGAGGCGCCGCCGGCGGAGCCGCCGGCGGCGGCACCAAAGTCCAGGGTGGCTGAGAAGCCGCCGGAGCCCCAGAGAGAGGTGGAGCTGCCACCCAAGAGCGGGTCGCCTGGCGCGGCGCTGCCGGCAGGCGCCCACGCCAGCCCCGTGCGCACAGGCACCAGCCCGTCCCGCTTCACGCTGCCGCCCGCAGTGATGGCGGCCTGCGCGGCCTGCTGCGCCGGCGTCAGCTGCGGCTGGTGGGGCGGGTTGAGCCGGGCGTAGCCGGTGGCAGAGGCGGCGGGCAGGGCGGGCGCCGCGGCGGACGCAGAGCCGGCGGCGGGAACAGATGCGAGGGCAGAGTAGGTGCCATGCGCAGCATTCTGCACAGGTCAGGAAGAAGAAGCAGGCGCGCTCAGCGGAGCACGCAGGCCAGCTGGCTGCCTCACGCAGCGGCACAGCACATCTGGCGCCACACGCCAAGGCCACTAGCACCACCCCGACAGCGAGGCGGCCCAGCTGCACCTGCAGCGGCGTGCAGTCCGTCACATCCCGGCAGTTCACATCCGCCCCTAGCTCTACCAGTGCGGCCACGGTGTCCAGGAATCCGCACCCTGCAGGCACGCCAGGTCAGACACGTCCACCTCAGCATGCCACGTGGGCAGCCGGGGTGTGGGCGCCTCGGTGCAGCCGCCGCAGCACAGCATGGCTCCCCACCACGACCAACACACACGCTGTGCTCACCGGCAGCCAGGTGCAGCGGCGTGTTGAGCGCATTGTCGCGGCTGTCCACAGGGCAGCCTGCCGCCACCAGCGGCGCGAGCACGTGCGTCTGCCCAAACGCGGCGCCGTAGTGCAGCGCCGTGCTGCCGTCCTTGGTGCGGCAGGTGGCCGCAATCTGGGGGCAGCGCAGCAGGCGGTCGATGATGTCGGCGCGGCCGCTGCGGGCCGCAATGTGGAGCGGCGTCTCCAGCGGGCGCTGCGCCAGCAGGGCCGCCACGTCAGCGCCCAGCTCCACAAGCACGCAGATGGTCTCTATGCTGGCGGGGCCCTGCAGCAGGTGCCCGAGGCACAGAGCAAAGGGAAATTGGGGGAGGGGCCACGAGGCGATTGGCAGGGGCAGGGAGGTGCAGCGAGGCACAGCTTTGCTGCACCACCATGCCGACGCGCATCCAGGCAGCACCAGCCAGTGAGCCAGGCAACCTCAAAAAACCTGTTCCGTATGCCACACTGCCGAACGCCGCACCTTGAGCAGGGCCAGCTGCAGCGGGGTGTGCGCCTTGTTGCTGAGCGCGTCCACGGGTGCCCCCAGCGCCACTAGCCGAGAGACTGAGTCGCACTGCCCCGCATCAGCAGCCAAGTGCAGGGCTGCAGGCCATGAGCAAGAGAGTCGGCGGACGGCGCACGTGCGGCAGTCAGCACCCTGCCGAGCATACACATCACCGCACACAACACGCACAGCCCCAGCCCGCCCACCAGCGCAGCCCACCGTCCAGCCTTGCGGCAGGCTCCGCCACCCACCCGTGTAGCCTCCCCGCAGGTCTTTCTGCCCCAGGTCCGCCCCGAGCGCCAGCAGCTCCTCCAGCGCCGCCACCCGCCCGTGCATGGCAGCGTAGTGCAGCGGCGTGCGGCCCAGGTAGTCGCGGGCATCCAGGCCGTGGCTCAGGGCCGCCAGGCTGCGGATGGCGGCCACGTGGCCGCCGTTGGCCGCCGAGTGCAGCGGCGTGAACTGGTAGTTGTCCCGAGCATCCACCTGCGACGCAAAGGAATGGGTTGAGGCGGCAGCGGCGGCGGCGGGTGGGCCACGGCGGCAGCGACAGCCGGAGGAAGGGCCCGGCGGCGGGGGCACGATTGCAAGGAAATAGGCAGGCGAGGCCGGGGCTGTCCAGGGTTGGCCAATCGGCAGGGTCCTGGCTCCAGCCACAGGACCTGTACGGACAGCAAACGCACCTGGTTGCCCAGCTCTCGGATCAGCACGTCTATCAGGTCCACCCAGCCCTGCTCCGCCGCCACGTGCACCGCGGTGCGCCCCTCCAGGCTGCGCAGGCTGGAGGGGCAGTGCAGCCTCTCCAGCAGCCGCACCGCCTCCACGCGGTTCCAGGCGGCGGCGCAGTACAGCGGGGTGCACCCGTCTCGGTCCACGACTGAAAAAGAACAAGAATAGGCAGCGGCGCAGGAAGAGCAGGCAGTCAAAGGAAGCAGCATCATGCACAGATGCTGAACAGGACATGGCAGCAACGAGCAGCGGCAGGGCAATGCTGCATGGGGAGCACACATGCTGGCGCAGGCAGCGCATGCCGCTTGCACCTTGTGAGCTGCACCCCAGCCGCACAAGCTCCTGTATGGCCTCCAGGTGGCCCTCCCCTGCCGCCACATGGATGGGGGTGGACCCCACTGCATCGGGGACCACTGCTTCGCACCCCAAGCTGATAAGCGCGTCAATGGCCGCCACCTGCAGCTCCCAGGGGAGGCGGGGCATGGCGCGGTGAGGGCAGCAGCGGGCGCAGCAGCAGCCGTGGGGCAGCCACCGGCCGGCGTCGGCTCCCGAGGCCTGCTCCCCGGCGCTGCCAGCTCCCCTTCTGACGGCGTGCGGCCCGAACAGACGCCACCGCTACTTCCCTTCTGCCTCTGCTGCCAACGCCCGTCGCACCTGGTTGTACGCCGCAGCATAGTGCAACGGCGTCCAGCTATTCATGCTCTTGACCGTCAGGTCGCAATTGAACTGCTGCACCAGCCGCCGTATCAGCTCAATGTTGCCTGCAGGCAAAACAAGAGCCGAGTGTGCATGCCATCAGCCCGTACAGCATCCCACCTGACACCGCAATCCCAGCTGCTAGCTGGCCACGCGTGCTCGCCACCACACACACACACCGGGGCACCCAGCCTGGCATGCAGCCCCACCTGACATGGCAGCCACGTGCAGCGGGTGCCAGCCCAGCACCCGCTGCACGGTGGGCAGGCCGGGGCGGCTGAGGTCCACAACCTCGCCCACCGCCGCCCACAGCGGCGACAGCTCCGCCAGCGGCTTGCACAGGCCGTCGTCCTCAAAGGTGGCCGACTCCCAGCCCAGGTGGAGGAAGCCCATGAAGTCCTGCAGCACACACCCCGCCCGCCACAGCCAGCTCGAACAGTGGAGGCCGGCAAGCCGCATGCCAGCGCAGCTGCGCAACACAAAGGCAAGCTTCCGAGCCCGGCAGCACAGCACGCCCAGCACGCCCCGGCAGCGCCGGCGCGCGGCACGCACCTGCATGCAGCGCCTGCGCGCCACCTCGTGGAGGGGCGTGCGCCCGGCCTCGTCCCGCAGCAGAGCCTCCACCAGCCGGATGATGAGCGTGACCTGGTTCTGCACCGCCGCCAGATGCACCGGCGTGCAGCCCAGGATGTCCTTTGCCAGCAGCAGGCCGGGGCCGCCGCGGGCCAGCAGAAGGTCCACCACCCCCACGTGACCCCGGATGACCGCGTGGTGCAGCGGCGTGCGGCTCTCGCCGTCGCGTGCCGTCATGTCGGCACCCTGCACCCGCAGCGGAAGCAGGGCGGGCAGGGCCAATCAGGGCCACCGCAGCCCGGGCGGCAACAACGATGGAAATGTAGCAAAAACACAAGCGCATTGTTATGTTTGTTTATAGCCAGGCATGGGGCTGGCTGAGCATAGATACACGTGTGTCTAGCCACACGCCAGGCTGCACAGGATGTCCCCGCTGCGGCACTGCTGCCCTGCACGCCCCGAGGCAGCTCCGCAGCTTGCCTGGTCCAGCAGGGCCGCCACCTCCTCCTCATTGCCCCGCTGCGCCGCACGGTGCAGCGCCGTGGTGGGTGCAAGGGACATTGTGCTATAAAGCTCCGGCTATCAACCTACCGGCGTCGCCGCCGTCGCGCACTGCAGCCTGTTACCAGCCTCGCGCTTCTGCACCAGGGGCGGCAGCACGAATATCAATTCTGCCCATGCATCCCATCTCGCCCGCTGGTGCGACGGTTTGCAGGGCCAGGCAGCCACGGCAGGCGCCTGGCCAAAGTCACAACCAGCATGCAGGTTGCAGGGCGGCCGGGCTCGCTCACAAACTCGCTACAAGCTCAGGGCATCAATCGCGTACCGTGCACGCCGCGAGTGGCAGGCCAGAAGACTGTGCCCAAGCCTCGCCTTATGCGCTCCTCTGGCGGCGGTGGCAACTCCCCAGAACTGGGATGGAGTCTTCAGCAAGCCGCCGGGAGCCAGCCGGCGAGGAGTTGCGACACCCCTCTGCCACTCCCTGAAGTTTTGGACTGCCTGGTCAGCTGCCG